GGAAGGGGGGAAAATAAAACTTCTATAGTTAGGGAGAGGAATGCTGGATGGACTTGGTTTATAAATGTTTTGGCAAAATTATGATTTCAAATTAAAAACATTCCAAGGAATTTTTTGCAAACCCAGTTTGATAGTTGGGAAAATAAAACCTTTGATACTTTCAAGCAATCGCTGTTGAAGAATTTATCAAACATGTGCGCAGCTCTTGGCCGTTTTTTTTTTCAAATCTCAAACGAAGATAATGTATGAAGTTTGAATTGTACAGGTATATCCCAAAATTTCTCCTGTGAAGGGAAGAAGGCCGAACCAGTTAAACAAACATGAAGGAGCACTATGGTGTATAAGGGTTCAATAGATATGTTGCAAAATTTTCAAATTATTAGGTTTCTTACAACTCTAATTATGTCAAAACCATATTTACTGCGACTTCGGTTACCATTTGACAGATCAAGCAAAGTCTACAAGATGGCTATAGCAGTGATGGACCGACAGGGGTGGATGGGGAGGAGGGGAGCAACGTCCCTTCTTCCCGAAAATTTTCGAACGTTACTTAATGTGTTGTAGAAATGTGCATGTGACTCATTTACTCTTGTAAACAGTTGAAATAATTTTCTAAATTTTTTGGAAATTGAATTAGCGAATTCATATAAACAGTTTGCAAAATATTTCGGAGCGTGACTACGTCACGCCCCCTTCAAAATTTCGGGGTCGTGGGCCCGCAAAAATTCCATTCTGAAAACTTTTTGGAGTGCGTGACTAACACCAACCACCTTCAATCGAAAAAAAATTTGTCACCACTCCCCCCCCCCCCCCCTTCCTCCGAACGGAAATCTTGGCACTCCACTTATTTAGCGTTTGTATTCCATCTAATGTCAAAATCACATCTCTCTCCCAAAACATCCTAGAAATTCCGCCACTTACCTAAATCACGTATTTGACACAGATTTTCAAAGTCGCTTTTTCCGTGCTCCCAACAATCATATACATATTTGTACCTTGAAGGTCCATAGTTCCCACGAAATATTGCTTTCAGAGTGAAAAAGATAATGAGACAAAGTTTCTATATTTTCACAAGAATTCGCAAAGTTTTCGTTTCCATTGATTGCGATAATGTTGCATATCTGCTAATCTCAATGAAAAGGCACAATATACAGAGTATTTCTTTCATTTTGAATGAGTTACACCCCATAGTATTTCACAAAAAGCAGAAAATTATATTGTCCTACTCCCTCTCACTTTTAGTCTAGACTGAGAATTTTGCTGTGTAATAGTGAATTTACATAAACAGTTTGAGAATACTACTCGGACATTGGAAACCACTGTGCAAAGACCGGATGAGGAAATAGATGGTGAGTAATAAAACTGACAAACTCCGCTGAAATATTGCTGCTGTTTCGAAGGATATCCTTGCGCCTACCATTCTTGAGATACTTTTTCGATGTGAAACCTTGCGTAATCTTATATATAAAGCTGAATGTCTGTTTGTCTGTCTGTCTGTATGTCTGTCTGTATGTCTGTCTGTCTGTATGTATGTACGTATGTTCCGAATACAAATTTTTATTTCTGAACCGATCGGGACCAAACTTGGCACACATATACTTCAGGGCAGGGAGCGTGTCATAGGCTACTTTTCGTTATCGATCGATATCGATTTTATTGATTTTTTGCAAAATTCGAGCTAGAGGGCTGGGATTTGGCAGAGGGGGGTAATCGAGCATGCTGATCACCCCGAAGGGGTGATCAGCATGCTCGATTACCCCCCTGTGCAAAATCCTAGCCCCCTAGCTCAAATTTTGCAAAAAATCGGTAAAATCGACATCGATCGATAACGAAAAGTGGGCTGTGACACGCTCCCTGCCCCGAAGTGTATGTGTGCAAAGTTCGGTCCCAATCGGTTCAGAGATAAAAATTTCTATTCGGAACATACGTACACGGGTCTAGCTGGCAGGCCCGGCGGAGCCGGGCAAGCCAGCTAGTATTCTTATAAATAGAAAAAAAATACCAAAACTAAGATGAAACCAAACCTGTGCCACATGCTTCTCGAAAAGAGCGGAAGAGCTGTGCTGACTACGTCTCGCAAAGTAATGACAGTATAGATTCTGTTGAACCTTCTTGCCTCTAGATAGAAAATTCTTTCGCATTTCTTACAACTCAATTATGTGGAACGTTTTGAGTCCAGTCTCGCTGTAAGCGCAACTACTTTGACCTACACAAAACACAAAGGCTGCCCTCCAATACCTTCTCACTAAGAATTTTTTCTGTAGCTCAAAAGAAAAGTTGACGTACTGAAACTATCTCTCTCACGACAGCGTTCCCGCGCATGTATGAAAATATGAAAATTTTTCGAGAAACTGAGTTGCTTGGACTAACTTGACACGAATAGGACGAGATTTGACAAAGTTGAAGCCTCACCCTACATTCTACTGACTAGAATCTACTCTCCATACACCTATGGCCTTCCTGTAACTAGAGACGGTACACAAGAAATTAATTTCCATACATCTCGTTTCCCCTAATTCCCATAGAATACAGCATCAAAATTATTTGATGCAGTCTCTCCCAAATAGTAGCAAAATTAGAATTTCTAAAGTCGTACGATTTTCTACTTGAAGCTTCTGGAAATAATTACGATGTACGAATTTCAGAAAATCTAAAATCCAAGTGTATTTGATAGAGAGTTAATTTCATTTACGATTAATCCTAAAGATGTTACGAGTTTTTTGAAAAAAAAAATGCTGCACCACAGTTACTCATTACGGGATAGAAAAAAAAGCAGCGTACTTCATTATCAGGTGTTTTTATCGTAATAATAAGCTTTGCTGATATAAGCTCCCCTCTTTCGCAACTTCTCCAGAAATAGCTGTAGACCACAAAGTTCCATGTTTCCTATCCATAGTGGCAAAACGAGTGAATTTTTCGAGCTCAAAATTATATTGCTCCGTGCAGATTTTGGAATAATTCTCTTGTTGAAAGTCTCCGTTCTATTTATTTCTAAGATCGTTCCTTATGCTAATGGCTCTATAATATTTTCAGCATATTAAACCTAGCATACACCCTCCCTTCGAACGTCATACATGCGTCCCAGTGCAATCTCGTCACTTTTCTTGAAAGTCGCTGATAAGGATCTTTTGAAGAGGCCTTTCCCTGCGTGTCGCTTTTTCTCCACACTCAAGTCGTCAAGATAAATCGCATGCCGCCTCGACAAGATGGCTGGCTGTTGAGCGAGAGAGAGAATCGAGCATCCAGCTGACCTCCGTCAATCTCGTCCTCTTCATCCCCTGCGATCAGTGATGATTGTGCATGCTTCCGAGGGCGCCTACATTTGCATAATACGGACTTGATGAACTTCCTTGCATAAAGCAACGGCCAACGAAAGATTAACCAAAAGTCAAATGGGGAAAGTTTCACAGACATTGGTAGCTATGACGTCTGCTATCAAGCATTTGTAGTAAACTGTAAGTATTAAGTTAAAAAGGAAAGGATTTTGTTTTCATAGCAAAGCAACGAGTTCAAAAAGTATGTGAGGGGTACCTTCGATAGGGCATAGAAAGCACTAAATGATGACCTTCAGATTTTGGCAGAAGTCGTGATTTGTGCATAGTTTCAGAGGAGCAACCAATGATGCCATGTATTGGATTTTCGCCCCAAAAAATCCTACGATCACTTGCCCTGCATGCAACAGACATACAATACCGCTCATATTTTCTAAAAAAAGACGCGTAGTCGCCCGATCCATGTGAAATCACCGTAGCATAGCCATACCTTGCTTAGAGTGGATGAATTCTAAATTTAAAGGCACCATTCAACTCAGCTCGACGCGGAGCATCTTATGATATATAGAATTACCCGCTTGGACACAGTGGGAGGTCAGATTCCACAAATCGTTTCAGATTTTTACTTACGGTAGGTTATTTTAGGGTTTCACCGCACTCACTGGGCAACATCGTAAGCAAAAATCTGAAATGATTCATAAAAATCTGTCCTTCTACTGTGCCCAAGAGGGCAATTCTATATATCAGAATATGCGCCGCGCGAAGCTAAGTTGATTGTATAGAATACACAAATTTTCGATATTTAACCCTTGATAGGCCTCGCATATACCCTAGCCCTTATGAAACATCAATTTTAGCTTTAAAAGAATCGAAAAAAGCGACATATTTTTCTTTCCAGTCTAATAAATACGAGTCATTTACGAGTGCTAAGGGCAGAACAACTCTCAACCTTTTTGATTATTTCATGATTTTTTTGACAGATGCGAATAAATTGTTTAAGAGGGGTTCGAACATAATCTGCTTGTACGAAATTTTCCTCGCAAGCTAGAGCACTCATAGGGATATAAACATTTTTTCCCTCTAAAATTTCAAGTTTCTGCGCGCGAAAATCTTAGGAAACATCCTTTCTGGGCACGTTCATGCGAAAATTGTCTCCTCCCCCATCCTCTTCACCCCGAAGAAGATCCCCGGACCGCCACTGTTAGAGGATTAAGTATATGAGAAGCCAGTCACTATAGGCGGAATGTATTTATTTACATTTCTAATACCAAAAAATACAAGTGTACAAATGAGCTTTATGTGTGTGGTCTTGATCAAGTTTTTTATAATCTTTTGGAGTTTATATTAGTAATAGTTATATTGTTACTGTTTTCATTACCCATAACTATTGATTCGACTTTCTCAATATTTTCACTGCTTAATCAATTATTATCAAATTCATGACTTCGTGGGAAATTCTTAGGATTTTCTGGGTTAAAGATCTTCTTTGTTTCAAAAGAAACATTTTTGAATTTCGTTTACAACCTTTATATGTAAAAGTCATGTGAATGTTTGGAGTTGCCCAAACCCCATTGGAAGCAACCTAGCATTACCTCAGAATTGATTTTTATTGCTTGTAGCCAATCATTCTCCTCCTTCCTCCTTCTCCCCCCCCCCCCCCCCCCATCTCCTCGCCCCAAACATTTCTGGTACCATGCCTGACACACTCTAATTTAACGTTATTTACAGATGTGCAGATCCAGCCACGGACAGTTGGTTCTCGTACAACGCATGTTGCGATAACGCGTGCTGTTATCGTTTGAGGTTTTGGGTAATGTGAGTTGATTTTTGTAAGTTTCCAGGGTAGTGGTCAAGAGGAGAGTGTTTGTTGCTGACAATTCCATAATTCCTTTAGTTATTCTAAAAAAAATCATTAGAATCATCCGCACAGAAAAGTCGAAAAGAAAAAAATTTTCCAGCAGAAATTGAAAGATGACGCAGATTTTACGACCAAGAATTTATAGTATTGAAGAAGGCTTCAGCGAATATTGAAATTTAGCCGTAAAATGAGGTGTGCGTTGTGCGAACTTAGTAACAACTGACTCGACTGTAACCGTGACGTAAAGCAAATTTACTGTGCTACTTCGAAGAGTTGTTAGTTTGCGCCCCCTTCCCTCCCCCCCCCCGCCTCCCTCCCCCGAGAATGGGTCGCGAAATTTTTGAAAGTTATTTTTATGTGTTATAAAAATGTGCAAGCGATTTGTTTTTACCCATAAATAATTGAAATAATTCCTAGAATTACCCTTGTAGAAAAATTTTTTTTCTGGCGCCCTTTTTTTTTCGAAGTTTCGGGTATGGACCCGCGAAAATTTTGGAAAGCATCCAAAAACTTTTGTGGCCATCTCACTCGCACAGAAACCCTGCGCACAACGTTGGAAAGAGAGTTTTATTTTCTTCTTGTTTAAGCGAAGAAAGCCCGAAGTACAAAAAACTAAAGCTGCTCCACTCATTGGCACAGCTTCAGCGAATGTTAAATTTAGCCGTAAAGTAAATTGAGGCGCGCGGATTGCGAACTCAATAATTTACAATGGGACTCGACTATAACTGTGACGTCGGTATCTCCTTAACAGACAGATGATTCTGAAAAATCTAAAAACATCAGCTCATGTAAAATTACTTTCTTTGATTATGACCGTATTTCAGACCAGCTTGCATTGCTGGAGTGGGTTTTGTAGCTGGTGCGTTCTTCGCACTTTGTTTCCAATGTCGATGATGAATGGGCATATCTACCTCGTTCTTGTGGCAAATCCATTAAGAAGATCAGCGAAAATGTCGCAATTCATCCTCTCACGGATTACTTTCATCAGCGTCAAATTGCCTTCACAAACGCCTCAAATTTCACCAGATGTTTAATAGTACATGCACTACAGTTTTTGTACTTAAATAAACATTTATTCTCGTGTATTCTGACAACGTAGACTCATTCTGATATCACTCACGAAATAGAATCATTGATTGCAGAACATAGAAAATATATTTGTAAATCTCAAAGATGTGTAAATGAGAAGAATAAAAATTAGAAACGATGGATGTGTGAAACAAACAATAATATTTCATAAGAGCAAACAGAGAATACGAATACGAAAACAAACCGCGTGTAGTTGATGTTGGTTCAAGGAGGCTGGGCTGGGAGAGGTGAAAACGATGCCCGGAGAGACTATTCACTCTAAATCACAGGGCCTAGGGCAAAACGAGCAATGAAGCGTTGCGCACGACTGGGAGAGTTTAGACTGACACTACAGTTCCTTCTCTAACATCTTACAGAAAAACTATTCCTAAGGAAAAGTCGTGCGTTGCCTCACATACTCGTCCTACTATCCGTACTGACGAACTGTACTCGCAAAAGGAAAGAGGGACAAACAAAGGGCTGCAAAGCGGATGTGATTAACGGCATCCACATGGTGGTATATAAAATCAAATAAAAATAGGCCTGCATCAATCAGATAAGCAAAAAACGGCAGATTGATAGTCAACACTAAGTCAACGTGGGGTGACTATGGTGAGTTGAAAGGGGAAATTTTTTGTATGAATAAACACTGTGTTATGAAGGTACTTAGTAATGAGAAAGGTGTGTGTGTGATAACTCTGTACAAGGTAGAAATGAGAGCGATCGAATCATCAAATCAAATAGCCTGGATACCGGAGCGGTGGCGCACACAAAATTTGCATGTGTTGAAACGAGATATAGGGAAAAATAGCTAATAGGACAAGAAGTACTGTAGAGAACTGTACAGGCGCAGCGCTGCGGCTGAGCAGAACGGGCAGTCCGAGTCATAACAGCTAACCCATTGGGCTCACGTGATGATATTGTCGTAGTTTTGGAAGAGTTCGTCGAATGGCGAGATCGTAGTATTAGCATTGTTCTGATTCGACGTGTACTGTCTTACCGTACTCTCCTATAAATAAAGGAGAAAATGGTCATCGTAGATCCTAGCAGGTGCAGTTAACATAGTGCGACTGCTCGACGGCAGCTTTTGCGAGAAAACAACCACGCTTGTGAATGTGAAGCTGCCATCAACTTGCTTGCGGCTTGCATGAAAAACGCTATGTGCACACATTCGCTATTTAGCGCAAATGAGGCGAAAAATTGAAACTCTCAAACTTCCTCGAATTATACTTAAGGCCCAAGGTGATGATAAGAAATTCTCAACCACACTCACCCAAGTATTGAGGAAATCGGTAATCGAGTGTAGTCCGGGCCGTGCAAGCCTTTCGTGAACTACATTTTGCAAATCATCATAGAAGAAAGCGTCTGAAACAGGCATTATTAACTTGACAGATTATGTATTAACGTATCTGATTATAATAATTCAGAAATCCGAGAAAAAGTAATAAATTGAAGAAAGAAAAAAAGAAAGATGGAGAGCATTACAAACCACATTTGTAGATCGGAAGTTACTTACCAAGATCGATAGCGGCACGATCAACAGTGACAGAGGCGGCAGGATATGATAGCGGAATGACCAAACGAAGTGCAGGCACCTGTTGCCCTTCTGAAAAGAAACAATTTCGCTTTTAAGTTGATGAATTCCATCAGCTGAAGATTTCTACCATAGTTTACTTTTCGGATTGTTTACGATAGCCCTTGCAGGACTTTAATCACATTTTTGACAATCAACAGCGCCTTTGAATAGCTGCCATGGTCGGGTGTTACAGAAAAAGAACTTTAGGATATCAAAGACGCTCTAAAAACCGCAGCAAGTATCGTATCCTATACGCATCATAGCGTCTTACGATAAACTTTATAGATTTCGAGATAATTTCTCAGTAGCAGATTTCCAAAAAAAAAAACTGAGCTTTGCTTAAACACAAGACAATACTACTATTTCATTCATTTTTTTTGCTTCTAATGAATGGAACAGCATCCCTCTTTCCCAAGCAAAACAGCCAAGTCAGCTTGCATTTTTTTATTCTCCACAACGTTATTTCACTAATCCCTTCGTCTTAACACACTGAATAAACATTTGAAATTTTCTGCTACAATACTCTATGATAATTTAGAGCACCTGCGTCAAATAAGAAAAACGATAACTAAATGCTAGAATCTTCGTCATTACAACGCATAAACATCTATGACGACGCATTTGACGATGTCAAGTGCAGTTCGATTCACAGCAAGAAAACAGCGGATGCGTGGGGTAGGGGCGTCATGGTTACCAGAGCAGCTGCACCGTGACTCGTATTTCGCTTTTAATGCAAGACTGGCTGTTCCCAAGTGGGTATAGAACTTTCTATCGCCGGAAGGCACATTTACGCGAATTTGCCGCGAAACATGCATTTTTATACATTGAAGTTCATCTCAGCTCGCGCAAACCGAGCCTATCGGCGGTTTTCAATAAAAAGACAGACTGCTGCTAATTGTTATGAAAATATGACTCACTGATTTTGCATTTGACGAGGGCACAGTGTGGGTCATGGTGAGACTCGGGACTGTTGTCGAACTCAAACCTATCCGATAATTGCGAAAGTTCGCGACGGGCAGCTTCAGGCAATGCGGGTTTCGCCTGGAACAAAAAACAACGTGAACTACGAATAGAGGAGAATTTGTGGACAAGGATTATGAAATCAATTACTGACCCCATTTCCCTGCACATTTGCAACGGCTTCCATGGGGGTAGGCAAGAAATCGTCCATATTGTATAAATCATCAACACCAGGTTGTTCAGCGGAGCCTGCACTACTGGCAGTTCCATTATTGCCAGGTCCAGGTGGTGCAGCCATCACAGGGGTCGTGGTGGTCGACGTTGTGGGACCTGCGCAAGACGATAATAAAGCATGGGTGGATTGAGTTTATGCTTGATATGTAAATGGACGGTTCATGAAGTGCCCCCTATGCCGATAATCCTCGCACGTGGGCAAATTAATATGCCTGTAATGGACATCTGCGAGTTTGAAATGTCTGTAAAACGCCCACTCTTGGCCCTTGTGTCTATGGAATCACGCGCAACTGCTGTCGGCACGGGAGGCTAGCCTTCAAACAAAAAATTTTTGAACTAGCATAAAAACTCACGTGGTGGTAATGCAGTTGGGGTAGGGGCTGTGTTCATAAGTGGGTCCATCGCAGCGCCTCCCATCCGTAAAGGATCCATGGACTGCGGCTGCATCGTTTGCACGACAGGTGGGGGCCGCATTTGTGGTCGTACAACCGGGTACGGTCGATGATGTTCCACTGGAGATTCCCTATACGTTTGCATTGGACCACCGCCTTGAGACTGATTCATAGGTGGGCCCATCATCATACCTAAAGAAAACCGAGATCCAACAAAATAAACTCAAAGATGAAGTCTATCCTCATACCTTGTTGTTGTAAGTGTTGTGATGGCCACATTTGTTGTGGATGCATGGGAGGGTAGCCACCCTGATGCATTGGAGGAGGACCGTATCCACCTTGACTTCCATACATGGAGTTGGGATGATGATCAGGAGTATTGAGGACAGCATTGATGCCATCCACCATTCCTTGTCCTGCCATCCCCATGTGTCCATTTTGCATGGCATGAGGGTTGTGAGTAGTAGCCGCCTAGCAAAAGCAATAAATTACCCATAATAAAGCATAAGACGACAAAATGACCGAAATTCTTCATAAGTGCGGATAATTTAATCTTTCGGGCATGTTTTCAATCATAACTTCCTCTTCAAGCATAATCCTCTCAAAAAATCAATTACCTACGTGAAATTTGAATCTTTTCACAAGTTGATGAATCGTTTTGCACTACTTTCGCGCCATGATACTAGTTTTTGAAGAAAGCAACGACTCAGCGTTTTCGATTCCACACGTTTCTTTACTCCCATTTACTTTTTTTTCACTTCACTATTCTCGATTAACGACATTGTAAAAGGCTGATAAGAATTGCCGTTCCACTCAAACTTATCAGATATCAGGAAATAATGTGCGCCTGCAATACGCCGAAGAACTCAGAACCATAAATGTAAGAGATTAGAAAATATATCATAATAAATATGTGGAAGTGCCAAAGCTCACCAAGAAATCAGCTTTCTTATGGATCCAGTTTTCGAGATTGAGCAAGTATTCAAGGCTAACAACTCGACGGCCTTCTAATACACCCAGCATAGTTTCTAATTTTTGCGCAGCTTCCATGTTTCCCTCCATACGACATTGTTGCGCACGCAATCTGAAAAAAAAAACAATGGAAACCCACGAAAGACAGAAAGAAGAAGACAATGCTCACTTGAGATTTTCACAGTACGGCCTCAACGTCCGTAATTTCTGGTTATAGATTTGTTGTTGGTCATGCTGAGTATCCATGGGACCACCCATATGGCCAGGAGGGGCCATTTGCCCACTTGGTCCAGACATCATCATTTGAGGATGTCGACTCATCTAAAATAACTCCTCATTCATAGTGTTTCGAGGATCCCTGTTTGAACTCCGAAATTGACAGCGAACTGCCTTGCTTTTCATTTACCGATAGAAAACAGATATCATTTGCAAACTTGGTGGAAGTTGCACAAAATAGCACTTTTGTTTAGGCCGCCCCGGAGAGGGTGTATGAACAATGCTGTCCACATTGCTACTCTTCTGACCTCTACTATATAGTATTACATAACTGATCTTCATGCATGATCTGCTAGGTGTCTGGTTTGCACAGTTTTTCTGCAGCTGCTTAAAATAGGTTCTTTTCTTAAAATTCGCTAGTCATTTTCTACTTCCTCGTTGTGACTGCTGGCCATTCGCTGACTGCCGTCACTTGGCTTTTGGCGGAAAATAACAGAATGTCCTACGCTTAGAAACACTTAAACTATCTTAACCACTTTAATCTGCCATCAATTTCTTGAGGAAATTAATACCCTATTATGCAGTGACGCCAATTTTTTTAGCTTGATTATAACCTAAAAGCCTAATTTGGACTCAAGAAAATGTACAAGGATTCTAAGCGTTATAAGGCATTTTTCACTGATAATTTTTTCTCTCTTCTTTCCACTTCGATAAAGCTCCGTGAATTTAGGCTACACTGGAGTTGCCTGCATGAAAATCATAAATCTACACGCGGCATACAATTTCTACTCTAGCATCAGATCACAAGCCATGAACCTGCGGTGGAGCCGAAGGGTACTGGGGTTGGTTGATGAGCGCTTCAAGCACTGTGGACTGTCCACTAACGGGCGGCTGTTGTCCCGGTTGCGGCTGCTGGCTATGATGAGGTGGCATCTGGAATGCAATTCAGAGCCAATCCTCATAATAACAATGCAGATAGCAAAATTTAGTAAGGGTTTCTTGGTCACTCAAAAATTTTAATTCTTGGAGTGCAAGAAGAGCGTGGACTTGCTTTTGCAACCAATTCTGTTGTGAGGGAGAGATATTAACCGTCGCACAAGCCAGATTTTCCCAATAGAAAGTTTTTACAAAGCAGTGTAGCCGAAATGAACTCTTGGATTGAACCTTTTCCTCCGGCGAGAGCACACCCGATCGAATGGCAAAGTCCACTACAAAAAGCGCGTTCAGACGTCAAAAATTCATCACCAGATACAATATCATTATGTTGACAAAGGATTACGAAAAAAGTGAATTATAAGCCTGCTTGCGGTCTTAACTATAACTACACTATACGTCAGGAAAAAACTGCCGATATTGGCCGCTTGACAAGTGGCTCCCTGCCCATGCCCTCACTTTGCTTTTTCCAATAACGGAAAAAAAAGAATCGACATGTATTTTCAACAAAAATGTTGTGTCATAATATGTTTGACGTTCACAAAAAAACAGAAAATAAAAAAAAACCTTCAAAAATCTCACTTGTTGTTGTTGTGAAGGTTGCGCATAACCGGGATGCTGCGCCCATTGCTGTTGAGATGGGGGATAATGCATGCCTTGTGCATCCCAACTGCGAGACATTGGTTCCTATAGATAGCTTATTGAACAACGTTGTGTATTTTACCTGACTTCAAGACTGTGATGATGAAATGCCAAAAAAAACACAGCAAATAGCAAAAAATATAAAGTTTTCGATACCTTTCATAACACGGCTAGCTTAAACTAGACGCAAAATTCCAGCAAAAAATAATGAGTGGGAGAATAGCGCAAATCACCTGTTTAGGTTGCTTTTGCATGCGGGCGTCATATGGAGGTAGAGGCTGTTGTTGTTGCGACTGCTGGGGAGACATCATTTGATATGGAGGGCAAGCACCTTGTGGCATCATCTAGAATACATCGGTTATGGCATAGTTCATGATATGTTAGAAAAGCAAAAAAACAGTTTTAGGTTGAAATCTCGAAAAATAAGGAAATAATACAAAAAAATTGAACTGCGTAAATGATAATCCGAATTCACAATGTTGCGCATAAAAGCTTTCAAAATCCTACCTGCTGCTGCTGCTGCATAGGTTGAGCGGCGGACGGTTGCATTTGCGGTGGTGGTTGTCCGAGAGGAGGCGCACCATAAGATGGCGGTGGACCCCGAGATTGATCAGGAGAGGGGAATGATGGTTGCTGATTCGGCATTACAGGCGCAGGTTGTTGTTGTTGCTGAATAGTAAGCTGTTGCGTGACAGCTGCCGACTGACTTTGATTCCTTGTCTAAATATGGTTTTGGTAATTGGGACATGCCCACCACGATATTCGCATTCTCTCTTATTGAGTCGTAAAATCTATAGCAACTCTCAAATTACGCTTACCTGCGTTGGCTGGGGATCAGGTGGCACCGAAGTTCGATATGATGTTGTCGAATTCGTATTGTTGCTATTTACACTCGGTGCCGAGCATGGAGGGCTGTGAAATGACGGCTGCAGAACCGAAGGGACTGCTGCGGATTTTGCATTGCAATTGATCGCATTTATCACCTATAAGTACTTGCGGAATTTATAGAAATTTTCAAACGAACGTCTCTTCAAACGCAGTAATTTTTGTGAGCTGTATCAGAAGTAAACAAGTATAACAAAAATGCGTACAAAAAACTGAAGCCAGTCGAATGTTTTGAAAAAAACACCTTCAAAAAAATGATCGTACCTTAGCTATCGTGCGCATGTACTCGTCCTTACTGAGGCACTTTTGGAATACATATTCTTCTACTTGACGAGCGTCTCCGGGAACTGGCAGATTCGGAGCGTTCTGTCGATTTCGAGCCAATTCTGGCTCCCTAAACAGCATATTATTTCATTCCAGTATATTATCAGATCCATACGCGTCGCCGCTTGTTGAAAAATGATTATAAAAAGCCGAACAAAATAAAGGAGGTGCCGTCCTTTGAGATTCGCAGTTTATAAATATACTCGAATGCATGAGTTCTGAAAGAAAAAAATTTCAAAGATGAATTTTGAGAAGGGTACAGATGTTTTTGCTATAAAAATTGGCAGGAAAGGGTTTAGAGAAGCATAAACAACAATAAATTCACAATTAAGATACCATTACAAAAAAAAATCCGCTGTTGATTTACGAATGGGATCAAACACCACGATCATGAGAAAAAAACAATTTTTGTGCTGCACATAAAAAGCATCCATAATGATAGATTATCATGTGGTCATGCAGGGGTGAGGGTCATTGTTAGTCTCTTTTTTAGAGTGGTGCAACTTTTGACGCTTTCTTTTGTGGGTGAATGAGAGCTCACTGATACGCACGAAGAACAACACGTAGAAGAACAGATGCGACAGAATCGGTGGATATTTGACAAAACGCTACTTGAACATCAGAAAACTTTATGAATTAATAATGGAAATCTACACTTATCTCGGTGATAAATATGCCACGAGAAAATGTCGTCTAATGATAAACAAGAACGCCACCACCTCACGTCATCATCAGTAAAAACACCAAACAAAAAGAAGAAACAATTAACTATTTCACTTACAGTCGATTAATGACGTGATCTCGAAATCGTTGGGATGGCCAATCATCGTCCGCCATTCCCGCCGTGCAAGTCGTGGTTCAACGTGGAAGGGCAACGGTTGCAGAAAACCGAGCGACGACGACGTAAGCGATCGGCTGTGCTGACCAACACCTGAATTTGTGGTTGAACAACGGGTTTCGGCAAACTGCGCAGGCGCAAAGAGAGCGAAGAGCGAAAATTGACTGAAACAGCAAAAACAGTGACATCCGGTGAGACAGACGCTCTATAATACTGAAAATTCTTGGAAAATTAGATGATATGCAGATGATCGCGACTAAAGGAGAAATTGTAAAATCTTACTCATTATAGCTAGGCTACTCGATAAGAATATAGTGACCCTGCGATGCCGACGACACTTGCGCGTGAAAACTGGCCATGGTGCTCAAAACTCGAAAATATGAGCCCTACAGCCAACTTACATGCGCAAATTGCAACCATTACATTATAAGTGGTAGAATAATGAAACCCGGCAATGGTCGATCTCCATGGACTACTGTTCCTTTCGCATAAGCTATAGGATATCGCGTAAGGACCAATAGTCCGCGAAAGCGACACCTAGGGTGGGTTCACACTGATCCGTAAGTTCCGGAACAGTTCCAGCAGCTAGGACTGTGCGCTGTGTTGGAACTGTTCCGGAACTTAAGGATCAGTACGAACCCAACCTAATGCCGGAAATCGTTCCACTACCCTAGATTGCCGATATCATGAACATGAGAAATGCTTCACGCGCAAGTGCTGTAGGCACCGCAGAGATATTATATGGTCAACTTAGATGGCCTGCTTATGGGCAGGTAGAAAAATGTTACAAAGGTACAAATTTAAGCCAAATGAGTACGAGCATCCAAGTAACAAGATAACCAGGTGATTGTAAATCAACGAGAGCCAAAATTCATGGGCAACTTACAAGTATTTACTCTGGTTTTGAACAACGAACATACAAAATCACGGTAGATCAACCAACAAGAAAACAACAACCACACAGATATCTGACCAATGACAAGTGCATACATTCGCAGATTATTGTATACCGAGCTGGAAAGAATGAGATTGAGGTAAACTTCCAAACTGAGGGAAAAACAAGATAAACAGGGAGCAAGCCCGCTGCTCTCAACATTTCGTTTCTGCAGGAAGGAGACAGAATCACTTTCTAAAGGTTAAATCCAACGCTATACGTTATCGATGAGAACAAACTCATTTATCTTAAGAGAAAAACTCATCATCACACTACACCTATAGATGAGAGAAGAACCAGTTTGGAAAACCGCGGTGGCCGGTCGTATGTGTATTTATGGCTAAGACCAGCATCGATAGGAAAAGATGATGACGAACGGAAAGCCTAACGCTCGGTTTCCATTTTCACTTAAACAGCGTTTCATCTTGTCGTTTTTTCGCTGTGAATGTGCCCGGCCTTTGCTGAGCTTCTGGATGATTTGCCAGTTCTATAGGGCAAGTGGATACAGGTGATTCCATGAGACATTGTTTCAAGTCGTAGAATACAGCACTGTCGTCCGGTGTGAGGAATGTGATAGCTTTGCCATGTTTGCCAGCACGACCTGTAATCAAGAAACGATAAAAATAAGAAAAAAAGCTATCATAAAGTAAAAAAAGAAGGCGGAGGCGATAAATGAGTCTGAAGATCTCTCCTCCAAAAAGGAGGAAAAAGAAGAGAATAGAGACCACCAACAAAGCAAAAATTGTTGAGCGTAAAAGAGGCTACAGCAGAGTAACGGAGACGAAGTAGTATGGCCGTGCGTGTGTGTTAAGGTAATCGATTACTCGTATGAAAGGTGTAATAAACAGGCTAAACAAACCGACAGAGGTGTCGAAAACACCAACATCATACTTACTGTGACCGACACTGCTAAGCGGCGATTTATGGCGCTATAATGCGAGGAATAATGCGGCGAATACGTAATGAAGATGGCGTGCACTTGATAGTTGAACTTCCACAAAAAAAATGCATAGAAACTGATAGAAGTTGAAGAAACAGGTTTCACACAAGGTCTTTAAGAAAGAAGCAACTTTAAACAGTAGAAGCGCTCCCGCTAAATCTACAGAAACAATCTAAATGAAACAATCTAAAGACTTGGACCACTGCTGGTGGATAGGTTTGGAGTAGGCTAATTATTAAGTCAGCGGATAAACTACACTTTATCTTTTTGATTTCAGAAAATTTCGCGCTTAGTGGGTTTCAAGTAACCACCAGGATTACAATGAAAAACCAATTACTTCGAATTTTCCCTTTTCCTTGATTTCTTCTTGTCATACATGGACTTTTTCCTTCTTTGATTTTTTTATACTAAGACACTGTCCCTCTCGTAACAGCAGCGTGGTCTTTACTGTCTTGAAAACAAGAGTGAAAAGAGATAATAAAAAAATAGAAACTTTTCAGATATTCTTTTTAAATGCGCATAGTGTAATAAATGATATGCAAAGTTTAGACATGATGTCTCAATTCTGGATAGAAAGGCTTTCCTAATTATTATGCCAATAAATGTCACAAAAATGATATACCAACAATTATAAAAAAAAGGTTTAAAATATTATGTTTATTAAAGTCTCACTTTGATTATAATCATCACTTGAGTACAGAATTTGCCATTTCTACTGACATGATGTTGTTTAATCGTTTTTGTTCGTGTTTGTTTTTTCAACAAATAACACTTTATATGGACAAAACGAGTTGAAACTATAGAATAAGCATCCACAAAATATGCCAAGTGCTTCCGCCGCATTCCAACAAAGCACTAAATTCAGCAAAAAGATTTCATATCACAGCCACAACTATCGACGATTAACCCAGAAAAAGCCGGGTTATAGATGAAATGAATTCGATGGCGTAAACATGTCTGGCTTTTTTTCAAGGATTTTCCGCTTATAGTTCAAATAAATTATAAAGGGTTGAGGACAGCATGCGAAGTGCTGTAATACTCATATATTAGGTACATTCCGCATATTGGCCAGATACCATCGTATAAGATGGTAAAAAATTAAAGGCTAATCTCCAATCCACAAAGCAAGAATCGCATACGAGAGATTTCAGAAAGCTAGTCCACTAAGGAAAGCGGGTACCTCATCAGAGCATTCACATTAGCAGAAAAATGACAAGAAACTCGAACTTGCAAATTCCAAAGCATCAAATCTGTTAAGTGAATTTTTTGCCATCTTCCTATCTCCAACAAAGCGCGAACAACACAGCAAATAGCAGCTCTCACAAATAAAGAGGAGATTGACGACAATGTAAGAAAAAGCGTTGAAAAAACGAAAAGCGCTGAGAGGTAAACGCCCTCCACAAACCGCGTAAACGGCATTCTCAAACAATGAAAGGGAAAAAGCACCCATCATTAGGTGAAGTACATTATTATGCCTGTGTATACAATATTTGCGTAGATTATAAAGGGATGTAATGCAAAAAAAGTGAACGTTAATGTTTGCTTCTAACTGAACGGACTCCTGAGTATAACTTCCAATCATTAAAAAGGACATAAATGTAGTAGCAAACCCAACAAAAAAGATGTTATAAATAAACGAATAGAAAGAATGAGTTCGATCAAAAATTTCAATAAACTACATCACGGACCACCCATTTATCGATCAAACAATCTTCAATAGGGAAGAGAAACAAAGATTCACGTGATGTCCAGCTCTGTTTGGAAATGAAAACGATTGTGCGTGCGTAAGAATGAATTATGCGATAAACAGATGATGTAACGCAAAATGTAGAGTTTATTTAGGGAACTCGTGCTTATCTTATCAGGAACGAGATTTGAAGGGCATTAGATCGTCAGAAAAAGGCAAAAACTGATTAAATTGTGATGGAAAGGGGTAGTTTGGAGTATTTACAGAAGGATGAACCAGCAATGAAGCGAATGAAGCAGCGAAAATGAGGCTAGAACTTGAAGCAATAGGAGCTTTACGGGCCACTCAAAGAGAAAAAGACATGTGCGAGAGAAGTGCATTTCCGAGGTTGCGGCGGAAATTATGTGTGAAATTGCGTGCAATGCTCAACTTGGCGCAATTCTGGACAATGTCAAGAGCGCAAATTGTCGAAGGACCAGATTACCAAGACTTCTCCATACCCCTCTCAGAAAAGCATGCATTGACAAAAATATGGGCATAGCACATTCGAATTCGAACAAAATAAATTCCTAATTCACCACGACTAACAGCACGTGAGCTGTGGCATTGAAAAAAAAACTCTCAAACCCCACCACCCAAGCGAAACTGTCGAAGTAAGTAAATACAGTGTAACTAATGTTGACTTTACTCCGACTCACGGATACACATATTACTTCAAAGATAAGATAATGGCTATGCGTTCATAGAGATAGCAAGGCAAGGTGGTTGTAAAGTCTGAAAAAAAATTGATAAGAAAAATAGGTTTACTACTTCGGCAGCTCTGAGTGTATAATTTGCATTAGCGAAAAAATTGTGGATACAAGAAAGGCCAGGAAGACGAAGAGGAGACGAAGGTGCAAAGTGTGTAACTCACTATGTTGAAATAGAGTACGCGTTTATCACAAACAAAGGGCAATGATCAAGAAAACCAAAAGAATACTTTTCACGCTGAAGAAGAAGATAAAGTAGGTGAAGAAGCTCGACGTAAGAAGCTTAAACTAATCTAATCTATTACGAAATTTTCTGATCTTTACAACATCAAACCATCTAAGAATCAATAAAATTCTGGCCGATAGCCCCAACTGTGTCCCCCCGACAACGCACTGTACAACCCGCCAGCCCGCCCGCCGCCTTGTCCCGTGATTCCGCCACCACCACCGCCTTCAAATGAACCGAAGAGAGAGCAGGTTTCACTATTTTACCACCTCTCTCATATACTCGCAAATACGCACTTTTCTGTGCTGGGAGTTTCATGCGCATTGCACAGTGACAAATGTTCAAATTAAAATTCGTCAAAGTACAGAAACGGCCTCAAATAACGCCATGAAAGATAAGCATAGCTGGGTTAAGTGCAAAACTGGAAATCAATGATGCTATTCCCTATTCATCAGTGGTTTTTTTCCTGAGAAAAAGTCTTAATGAACTTGGAGTATTTCTGTGCTCCTGGTAAACCTAGATCTGGGTAGACGTGGATGATGGAGACCCAGCAAAGCCAACAGCCGAGCTGCATCTCGAATATTTCACCCTTGTTTGTTAAAAAGAATTTAACTTTGAACTCTGCCCCAGACCACAATTTGAGAAGGACAAGATCCTCGAGCACGATAGAAGATACAGTTAGGGTTGGAGTTTTAAAGGCAAGATTTTTTACCACGAACAAATCATATATGCTGCCGCTTAGGCGGTGGCTGATTCAAAGACTCCCAATTAGTTTCACAAAATATACGAATGAAAGAAATAAAAAAGAGAACAGAAAAAATGATATGTAGTATTGTATTTCTTGCTGTTATGTTTGCTGTGTTCGATATTGAAGATTATAGACCTACGCAACAACTTGCGGTCCTAGCCATCTTCCCTCCACCCCCGTATTTGCCCTCTTCATTATTTTCCTACCTTCCCTCTCACATACCCATACAAACAGCCACATTCATTCCTACATCAAGCACTGCCGGCGCATTGGTATTGACCATGCTCATTAGATTATTCGAAAGAATTTTCTAAAAATATTCAATGAGGGAAGTAAAATCACAGGCATAAAACATCATGAATTGGGAACAATAGGGAACCTGTGCAAATAGATATATCAATGACAGAAGTCCCAGATCTTTTTCTTTATTTGACTGCGTATCCCTAGAAACCTGGAGTCTATCTAGAATTACATAACACTTTTTGAACATCTACGTCTCAAACGATGGCAAACTGATAGAAGCTCAAAATCACCACCGCACTTAAACACTAACAATGAGCACTTCTTGAAAGAATTTAAGACTTGCTGAGTCCTGATGAACCAACCTATGGAGTCTCGTCAATCTAGCTGGCCTGCCTATTAGTTCGTTCAAAATTGAAATTAAGTAAGAAGAAGGTTTAGCATATGAGCAACGCCCTTCCCTTGGTAGCAGTCATATAGTTCCTTTATGATATTACAGATCACAATCTTAAGATCACAGATCACAATCTTTAGATTAACAAACAACAGAGATTGTAGTGGAGAATAGAAACCACAGCGCTAAGAAAGAAGCGAAAACAGAATCAGGATACTGTACTCTATGACATTTATCATTTTCTTGTAAGCTTAGCCGACCAAAGCTTCTAAACTCCGTTTTCTCTGAGAAGAAGAAAACTGGCCTGTTTTGTACACCTTCCTTCACAAATAGATTATTTGCGTTAATACCTAAACAAAACTTATAACACAACTTTTTTGAAGCTTCCTTGGGAACTACTGATGAGGGGCACCAAGGAAGCTGCACTACGGTATAGTTCTTAGCGAAACGGATAGTGTAAAAACAGATGGAAAAATGTCGTAAAATTTTGTATATTAGCAATTATATTTTATCTCATTTGTTTCATTATAGGTACGAAAAATAAAAACTTTGCTTTATGAAAACTAACAAAAGAGTTTGAAAATTAAAGAAATTATGCCATTGAAAAACCTTATCCT